TAGGGTGGTGCGCAGAGGGAAACAGGGCTCTCTCCTTGCCTACCAAGACTGGGAAGGTAGAATCTCTAGGCCAGCATGACTCACCTGTGGCTTTTAGTAAGAAAAGAATTGAGCACAAAGGCAGCAGACGTCACTAACGACTTGTTTGTATCCTGATAGATTCCAGAGTCCTGTAAAGCAGAGTCTTACAAGGCAGGAGTGTGGCTCTCCTCTTGAGGTATTTAGAGCAAAAGGGTGAAAGAGGATGCCACTCTCCAAAAATACATGTAAAATTAACGTTTATTCTCAATAATACCAAAGCACTGAGCGCACAGTCCTGAGGGGTGGCAGGGGAGCTGTGAACACTTTGGTTGTCCTCCCAGTGTCCCTGCTGTCCTGTCCCTCTTCTCTTCCGCTCTCCTCTTGCAGCGTGTTGAGGTCTACCCACTATTCTAGGTTCTGAGTTGACCCTACAGTGAAGATTTTTGTTTTTCTATCAGTTAAGTTATCTTTGGCTGCCAGTAAAGGGGACCTCTGACCAAAAGTGCCTTAACAATCAGGTTATTTATTGTCTTACATGCTTCAGATTGGCTCAGCAGCTCCATGAGGTCTTTGTAGACCCTAATGGATCTACCTCTTCCCTGTGCTGTTTACAAGGTTAATGTCATCCAAGGATGTTTTCTCTCACAACCATCCAATGGCCACCAGTGGTAATTAGGGCATGGTGGTTCCTCGTTCATATCTAGCAAGAGAAACAAAACATCCCAGAAGCTCTGAGTAACTGCTCATTGGCTCAAATTGGCCCAGAGACACTTAGCCATGAGCCAGTTGTTACTATGGGGAATAGAATTATCATTATTCACTTAAATCAACAGTTCTCAACCTTGTCTTCTCTTTCGAGTTATCTAGGGAAATTTCAAAACCTTTAAAATCTATGTTGGATCAAAGATTACATCAGAATATTTGGAGTGGAGCCCAGGCATGAACTCACAAATCAACTTCTCAGCCCCCAAGCCTTTGGTTTAAGGACCATGGCATTTCTCATAGAAAAAACTTGGAGTCAGAAGAAAAGGCAATGATATCTTTAAAGTGTTAAAAGGGAAAAAAACTTTCAACATAAGATTCTATATCCAGGGGAAATATCTCTGTAAAATAGGGGTGAAATAAAGACAGTTTTAGGTGAATGAAAGTGAAAAGAATTCACTGCCAGCATATCTGTGCTGAAGGGAGTTCTTTAGGCAGAAGGGGGATGGGAAGAGAAGGAACAAAAGGCACCAGAAACAGTAAACTAGTGGGTAAAACTTACTTTCTACTCAATCTCTTCAAAATCTGTGTGACTATTTAAACCAAAAGCCATAACGTTTTGCTGTGGCTTTGTAACACATGTAGCTATGATCATATAGCAACCATAGCGTGACAATCAAGGGGGTAGTTAATGAAAACGTATGGCTGTCAAGTTCTTATATGTTACATAAAGTGGCACAATATTGACTCTAAGTAGACCGGAAAATTAAGAATACACATTACTAACTTGGCAGCAATCTTTTAAAAACTCACCAAGAGCTTAGCTAAAAATTCAAAAGAGAAACTGAAAGAGAATTCTAAAAAACATCCAATTGCTCCAAAAGACAACAGAAAATAAGAAACAGAGGAATAAATGTGTGAGAAACAGAAAACCAATAACAAAAGAATAGACACAATCCAATCGTATCAATAATTCCATTAAATGTAAATGGACTAAACCTTCCAGAGATTGTTAGGTTAGATGTTTGTTAAAAAAGCAAGACCTAACTCCATGCTGTCTGCAATACATTGTAGATACAGGCACATGTATATGAGGCTACATACAGGTTCAAGGAACAAGAAAGAAAATGATATGCCATGCAGATGGCATTAGAAGCGTGGATTGGCTGTGTTCAGATGAAAGAGACTACAAAATGTCTAGTATGACCAGAGATAGAGACATTTCACATGACAAGGAATCAATTTGTCAGGAAGACATAGTGATCGTAAATATGTATGTGTTTAATAATAGCGTTTCCAAATGCGTGACACCAACACTGACAGAATTAGAGAAGTTAGTAGACAAGGTCACATTCACAGTTGCAGATTTCAGCATCCGCCTCAGTAACTGTGGACCAATCAGATAAGTCATCAGCGAGGACGTGGAACATCCAAATAAGACTGTCAGCCATCTTGATCTGATCAGTATTCGTAGAACCCCACACCCAACCACTGCAGAATACTTACCTTTTTTTTAAAGTAGACATGGAATCTTCTCTAAGACAGACCACATGCTGGGATATAAAGTGTCAATACATTTTAAAAGATTCAGCTCTTATTAAGTCTATTCTCTGACTGCAATGCAGTTAAATTACAAATCATTCACAAAGCAGCTAGTCAACTTTAGATCAAACTTTTGTTACACAGGTTCATGCCTCCTTTATGGGATTTACTGTAATTCTTCTTCTGTATTCATAGTCTTTTAAATAACCTCCTTCAGGAGATTCTAGATTAATTAAAAGCAGAAGTCGTGATTTAATCATCTTTGCCACGTCCACAGTGTCTGCCACGGTGCTTCGCGTGAAGACCTCAATTGATGCTTGATGAGCAGTCCTTCCAGGAATATAGGGAGAGCTCGTCCCGGAGAAGAAATTACTTTGGGCAAAACTGTCACAGATTTTCAACAGGCTAGTGAAGAGAAATAGGCAGGGAATAGTCTTTTTTTGATGATCTTGAAATAAAAGGTCACAGGAGCACACAGGTGCTCACACATACACATGCACACACACAAGCTCCCAGGCAGGGCTGAGAACCACTGGCTTACACCTCCTACTTCTAGGTAAATGCATCTAGGGAGCCAGCCTCAGTGTCCTCCACGGCCGTCCTGCGGCTTCGTTTTTGGAGGCTGAACCTGGATCCGTCTGCAGGGTGTGCAAACAGACAAGTGTGCCCAGGCCCGAGCATCTCTCCGATGAAGCAGTGCTTCCAGCTCTTGACCAGGTCAGACACCCAGTTAGCCCTGGAGAGCTGAGCCTCTGGACGTGAGGCTGCAGCTGCCCCGGGCCCTCTGCACCAGGGCCACACGTCATCCCAAGCACAGGGACCCGGTGACTGCCCTGGCCCCTCCTTGACTTTATTCTTGCTCTCTATGTAGATAAAAGCAACCTCTCCAAGGAGAGAGGCTGGAAGAGCCTGACTGACCCTCTTGCTCAGGAGGACAAACCTGTGTCTCAGCCGGTGACATCTGCTGGCGTGTTGATGGGTGTGCCCTGTCCCCAGGTACTTCAGTGACCACTGCAGATTTCTCTGAAGCACAAATAATTTTAATCAGTTTTGTTAAAAGGTCAGACTGCCCTGCTAGAGTGCTTTGTGAAATGCTGTTAGGAAATCAAACAAACAGTGACAATCTGTCAGCACTGCAGAAACTTCTTGGAGTTACTGCTCCTTGGAGAAAGGACTGGATTTCTCTTAAATGTTGCGATAACCATGCCATTTGTTGTGGGATGAATTGTGCCCCCCCAGATCCATGTGTTGAAGTTCTGACCCCCAGCACCCTGGAGTGTGCCCTTATTCGGAAATGGGGTCTTTGTGGATGGAGCTAGTAAGGACGAGGTCACGGCGCACAGAGGTGCTCCGTCAGGAGGCACGTGGTACCCACCTCCCCCAGGATTGTGGCGTTAAGGCCACGTCATCGGGACATCTGCCCGCTCCTCTACTGCAGGCCTGCCTTTCCGCGCTTCATCATCATGATGATTCCCTGCAGACGGACCCTGAGAGTCGGCAAACATCCCGCAACTTGCCAAGCTGACTCGCCGGCCTGGTTACCACCGTGACTGTCAGCAATCCATTTTCCCCGTTAGTCTTAAAGTGAAACCTCCCCACTTTCCCCAATGATACATTTATTCATTTGTTTATGTCATTCAAACCAGTCTTTTTAAACATTAAAATGTATTGAATAACAAATTTCAAAATCGAATGATTTATTAAGTTTATTTTAAAATTTCTAGCTGTTTGACTAGAATCGACTAGTTTCCCTACAAAACGTCATCGGAGAAAGCCTGCCCTAAATGTTGGGTTCGTGTATTTCTGTCCCCTCACTGTCTTCCCTGCCGCCCCGCTATTTCTGGTTACAGAGTTCAAGTTCCTGGTAACAGAAGTGGAGATACGAGCAAGACAGTGTCGCACAGAGTCACTTGCGGGTATTCGGCGCCAGCGTTAAGGCAGGGGAGGCACTTATCCTATTCGTTCGGGAAACAGAACATTTAAAGCTGTAGGATTTCCTGAGCGGGGGGCTGTTTTGTTCTGTTTTTTTTACTGAATGGCATAGTTTAGATAGTTACTACCTAAAAATGAACTGGCGCCCCTCAGACAGCAGGCAGTTCCCTGAGAGTGTATCGTCCACATGCCGTCGTGAGGGCATTTACAAACTATTTAGAAAACACGTTTTTTTGTTCAGAACCCATTCCTCCTGTTTGGCTGAGAGCTAGCATTCCCTATCACGTGTCACTGTTGACCAGAAGGTCACTAGCTTTTATAAATTCAGTTTTCTTTGGAAGCTTCTGTAGCGCCGCTCGTGGCCAAGGGTGAGATGCATAAAACCAAGTGGAGCCGGTCAGGACTCCGTCTTTCGGTCAGAAACTACTTCAGCGCGCAGAATGACACAGCTTTCCGTCAGAGCGTGGGCTGCTTCACCAGCCAGCGTGGCGCGAGCACGCGAGGCCCCGCCGAGGCCGGGAACCTGAGCCCGGGCAGCTGACCGTCTCAGACCCCGTGTCCTCCCCGCGGAGCTCGCGGCCGGAGCGTGCGTGTCAGGCATCCGGTACGTCCAGACCTGCCAGTAAAGGGCGGCTCGCCCCGCGAGGCGTCTCCGAGGAACCGGGGAAGGAGCGGCAGACAGCCGGGCGGGGGCAGGTCTGTCCGGCCTGCGGCGTCTCCTCGGCCTCGTCCTGTCACCGGGGCTGTTTCCCATCCCACCACGATGGGGGAGCACTGGACCCGCTGGCGGAACCAAGCCCGACTCCCTGGGCCGCAGAGAGCGCTAGACTTTCCGCAAGGGGTTCCGCCGGGACGGCCTGCCCTGTTGGGCAGTGGAGGTGGAGCCAGGCAGAGCCACAGGTGAGCTGTCACCGGGACCTGCGCAAAGAGCTGCCCCTGCACGACAGGCAGGGGGTCTACACCAGCTCCCCCCGCCCCCAGGAGAGGCCGAGTTTACGAAGTTCTCAGAGGTCTGGCTGGCCAGACGCTCCCGTATCCAAATGCTTCCCATGTGAAGGGCTGTGAACAGGTGCGACCAGGCCGCAGGTGGGTTTCCTAACCGACAGATGGGGCCGCACACCAGGTGGGCCACTTCCAGCCCGCCGAAAGGCTTTGTTTGAACCACAGTGTTTTTAAGCTCTTGTCAATTGGTTGGGCATATTTGAGAATAGAAATAGTTCACAGAAAATAAGGATTTCTGTTTGTCTTGAAGAAACAGAGCCATGTGGCAATCTTGGGCCTGCGCATGGTGAAAATTCCACTGTCACCCAGCGCGGTCCCTCGGAGACCCCTCCCGCTGTGAGTGCCGCTGGCAACCCCGTGCCTTCATCGTCTTCTCTTAAATTGGCAACATCAAAACCTACAAGCCCAAGAAAGAAATACAGTAAATAACCATTAGAACAGTAAAGGGAAACGCAGAGCAGATGACATGCTACAAAGAAACCTACTCCCAGGCGGAAACCAGGGATGGAATATGCCCTCCAGGCGGACGGGTGGCTTCGGCAAAGCCCTTGACGACGACGTGTCCCTGTAAGGGAGTTCACTGGGCGGGTAAGAAGTAAACAAGAGAGGTGCTTCACTTCACAGAAGGTAAGGATCCAAGTCTCCTCTTCCCCTTGGGTGTTTGCACCGGAGACACACCTGCAGGCGTCCCCAGGCCTCCCTGACGCACCACACGCAGCCTCTGTTGGGGCATTCTTTTCCAGTGAGGAGAAGGAACACTGTTTCAACTGCGTTTCAAGTTATAACCAAGAATGGGAGACGTTTGTCTGGGTTTTATAAAAACACTGGTTATAGAGTGTTCCTGAGTTTTTTAATTTGCTAGAAAACTTTTTGCCAGAAAAATCCTGCAATTTGGATGCCTTAAGGAAATCACTGTAACCTCATTTTATCCTTGTAGGCTGGAGTTTATTTCTTACTAATATGTGTTCAGTGAGGTCATGTAACTCTCCATCTGATTCTGCAGATGTGATGTTTCATGTGTCATGTGTCTGTGGCTAAAAGTATTACAAAAGTAGAAGCCATTTTGAAAGTGGAGGCAAATTAGGTAAAGAAGTGGATAATTCTGCTTCTCTGTCTGGTAAAACAATGCACCTTTCAGAGCGGTGGTTCTGGACTATTGCCTCCCGGGACACACCGGCCAAGTCTGGAGACACTTTTGTTGTCTCGAGTGGGGTGAGGGTGCTGCTGGCGTCTGGAGCACCCACAGCACACGGGACGGCCCCACAACCGAGGATGCTCTGGAGAAATGAACGGAGAAGACAGTCAAGAGACACTGTTTCAGAAAGTTAAGAGATTGGCTGAGAGATGATTAGGTCAGAACTTGAAGCAAACAAGTCATCTGCATACTTTGAGCAAAGAAAACCGTCCTTATTCAAAACTGTCTGCAATGGCAGAGCTCTAAGTCACCCAGTGACCGCACGTCTTCCACAGAGGGCGTGGGAGTGACGGGGTTTTCCAGGGCCCTGCTGCCGCTCAGCCGAGGACTAGGGTCACACTCGGCTGCTGGACACCCTGCGACACTGCTCTGGGAAGAGTATGCGCTGACTAGCTTATGAGCAAAAGAACAGCTTTGAATATTCTCAGTGTTAGCTCCGTCACCTCCCTAACTATCACTAAACAGAAACTTTATTTACTGTTACACTACACAGCTTACTTCTTTAATTATAGCTCTGATCTGTTTATAAGCAGCAGTGCACGCTGAACGGGCTTTGAGGGTCGGACAGCCGCAACCTGACGGCTGCGTTGCTGCCGACATACCGGGCGTCAGCACTGGTTTCCTGACTCGACAGGGTATTTCGTGGCCATATAGGCTTTGCTTGTGAAGTGATGGAGTACGGTGACCTCAGCTTACTCTCAGATGGTTCAGGGGAAAATGTTTCATTGTATTGTTGCAAGTACTGCTACCTGCGATTTTTATGTAGGTTTAAGTTTTTTTTAAGTTCGTTTAAAAAAGTAATTGGGATGCCTGCTGCTAAGGAAGTGAAAACTCAAACAGAAGACAGGAAGGAACGTATTTAACTGAGAGGGTCTGAATGTGACCGTGACACTGGCCAATTCAGAGAAGTGGCTGGCGAGGAGCGGTTCTCTGACTTACTGCCGTCTGCACCACGCCCATCGGCCTCAGGCAGTGATGCCCGCAGAGCGTGCTCCCCTCTCCAGGAAGTCCCCAGTGAAGCCATTGGCTCCAACAGACGTGGCTTCTCATCTCCTTTTCTCGAGGCTGCTTTTCCCATTTGACTTTTTGGAAGTTTTAATCCGATGCTCGGGCGCCAAGTAAGATTATCATGTCTGGTCCCAGCTGGACTTTTGAAACAACAATTTACAAGTGCTCCTCCAGGGCCAGGGCAGGACAAGTCACTCTTTGAGCCCCTTCCAGTTCTGTGATTCTGGATAGGAAACCTAGGGCAGGAGCAGAGAGGGCCTTGGGGACACTGGTTCCGGTCAGCTGCTCCCGCCCCCGCCACCTGCTCTGAGCCTGGAGCCGGGGGCAGAGACACAGAGTCCAACCAACTCAGCTTTCCGGGCAGTGAGTTGAAAGGAAGTCTTTAAATAGTCGCAGCTGCTGGTTTCTCAAGGAAATTTCTGGGAACTTGTCTACTGAGTTCAAGTAACATTTGGAGATTTTCCTTAAGAATATTCTATCAAGAACTATTAGGCATTCATCTCAGAAAGCAGTTTAGTCCCACAGTCAGAACGTCATGTCATGCACTCACACTGAGAAGCTGGGTAGACGGGCGGACAGCAGCCAGAACACACATGAAAATAGAACTTCGGCCCGGAGCGTGCAGCAGCTGGCCCAGGAAACCAGCCCTCACCTGCAAACGGCCACCCAGGGAGCCAGCCTGAGGCGAGGCCGACGCGCAGGAGCCAGACAATGATCTCAAGTGACAATCCAGGAAGCTAAATGGTAACTTCTGGAACAATCGGCCCCCGAAGGCCAGTACTTGATCAGTGTGTCAGTTTCCACTGCCTTTTGTCCCTGCTTAGAACTCGGGACCCTCAGAGGCTGATGAAGCTGTTCTTCTAGCCCAGCGGCTCTCCCACGTCAGCTCGGACCTCTCTGGGAGCCCGGGGCCTGGGGGCCGCCCGTCTGTCCGACGAACCCTTAGAGCTTCTTTCAGGGCCTCTGAGGGTATTGCCGAAGGAGCAGCTGCGAGGCCCACCTCAGCTCCCTAAAGCACCCGTCCTAAAAGCCGAGGCGGGGAAGGAAAGTAAGGCTGGGGAACAAGGGGCCCAGACGCCCGGTTACAGCAGGCATCACGCCGGGAGGTTCACCGCGCCAGCCTCCGACCCCCGGCACCCGGCTTGAGTCTCCCGAAGGCTCCGCGACGCAGGACTTGTCATCACTGCACAGGCAGGAAGGCGGAGGCCAAGGGAAGTTAGACAGTCCCGGTCGGGGGGAGAAGGGGCAGGATTCGGGGCCAAGCTGGTTGGCTCCGGGGCCCTGGTGGGCGTCCTCACCGCACCCATGTGGCCTGTGCTTCCGGTGTGTGCCGCTCCGCCACCCCCGGGCTCAGCAGTCGGGACCCCGGGCAGAAAGGACAGCGGTACTTGCTGGACCTCAGAGGCTAATGCCCCCAGAGTCCTCCGCTCCTCCAGCCAGGAAGCCAGAGGGGAGAACCAGGTGAGGTGGAGCCCGCGGCCTGTGGACCTGTGCCCACAGGTGAGGGGGGAGGGAACAGGTGGGGATGGAGAAGGCCTCCTCCTCGGGCTCCTCCTCGTCCCAGACGCTCTTGCCCCGACTCCAGCCCTGCAGAGCACACCCTGGGGCGGCCTGAGTGGAGGCCAGGCAAAGCCGGATCCGGGGGGCCTGGCATCCTCCGCCTTCCTACAGACACGGGCAGGCCATGGAGGGGGCAGTAGGCCAGAGTTAAAGCTCAATATTTTTTTTCTCCCAAATATTGCTAGATGCTTGGAATTACTAATAGGTGTGGAGCAGAATGCATAGAAAGCACAAAGAATTAGGAATTCTAAGTCTAATTTTAAAATAACTGGTGTGTAAAAACATATCTTTTAACATTCATTCATTCTTCTTCCTTCAAAGCACAGGTTTAAAAAAAACTACGAAAATAGCTTTCTAAGGCTTTTTAAAGCCTAGGAGTGGAGTTTTTAAGAAGCAATTTAAATTCAAATGTTATATAATCATCTACTTAATGGCTCTTTTAAAAATTTCTATCCTTTTTCTTATTCCCAGTTAATGGCCTCAAAGTTAAATTTAGCTATGAATTTTTCTATTAAAAAAAAAACTCAATTTGTCATAGGCAAGAAAGAAAGACTATATTCCTTGTCATGAATCCATTTAAAAGACTGGCTCGTCATCCTAGCTAGCTACCAGAGGGTTCATTCATTCAGCCCTTGCCTGCCTCCTTAAATCAGCTCCCTTCCCCATGCCTCCTGCCGGATGCCAGGCGGTGAGCAGGAACGGGCTGCCAGCATGCAGAAGCTAGATGGCACCTTCAGAGAGCGAGGCCAGGTGAGGAAGCCCAGTGCCCAGAGGTCACACACCACCTGATTCATTGTCTAGCGCTCCTGAAGTGACAGAAGAAATGGAGGACAGAGGTGCAATTTCTGGGGACTAAGGAAGGTGGGCAGGAGGGAGCAGGTGTGTGGATGAGGGACCGTGCGGTCCATGAAATCCATGGAAATGTCTTGTGCCTTGATGTCAGTGGCAATGTCCTGGCTATGACCCTTTGTTAGTTTCGCAAGATGTGGATATTGGGGGTCACTGGCTGAGGGGCATGTGGGATTTCTCTGGATTATTTCTTATAACTGCATGTGGATCTGTGATGATCTTAAAATTAAGTTTAACTACAGAAAGATGTCATAAAGGCCCCCAAAGACTGAGCTTACTTTCACTTTCAAGCACTTTCTTTGTCTAATAAGCTACTGTTAATACAGCTTGGTGGCACCTGATGTTTATGGCTATAGGAAAGGTATCAGATTGTCAAGGACTGTCAAGGATGTCAAGGATGTTATTGGTCATGAGTTCTTACACATAAAGCAAGTTTCATTTTTTTAAAGAGCAGAAAAAGAACTTATTTTGAAAGAAAATATAACTGTGACTTTAAAAGTCAAAAAATTACATTTGAGTAATTAAAGAGGAATAAAGTTTTAAATACTAGGATGAAGGTTTGCTGAAACGTGTATACAATTAAACGAAATTTTTTTTTCTAATGGAGGTATGAGGAATTGAACCCAGGACCTTGTGCGTGCTAAACACACTCTTTACCACTGAGCTGTATGACCTCCCCATCCCCATCATCAACAAAACAACTCCTTTAAAAGATAACATTCCTTCCTGAGCTCACTAGGGGTCATGTGACCCACCAGGAAACTGTCACGAATACGTCGTTTGAGGGACAGCCCCTGTCTGACAAAACTCACGTAACTGCACTTTGACTTTCAACCAGCATTTGCAGAGCTCTCTGCAATGCTCTTCCTGGTCATAAACCTCAAGTCTGGATTGAATGGAATTTCCATTTCTTCCTTAGATCAACTCTTTCATCAACAGAACCAGGCAGAATCCACACCCTCAGTGAGTTTCCTCCTCCTCACCCCTTCACCCTGAGCTCCCCATCCCTGACCCTCCAGAAGGTCTTGACCCTTTAGACCCTCTGGACCCTGACCTCAAATCCCTCTCCTCCACATCCGGACCCACCTCCTCAACAATTTCCTTTAACCCCTGAAAATCCCTCAACTTGCCCAGAAAATACCTTAACCGCTCCACTGCCTTCTTGTACCGCCTCTTCCCTCGCAGGGGCTCCAGAGCGCGCTGGGCCTGACCTCCAGGCACGAGGCAGATTTACGTGAATGCTGATGTCCGGGCCTGCCGAGAGGAAGGCATTCCGCTCACTTCCCGCTGCTCTGACATCAGACGGCATCAGCGCCGGCCCCAGCACCCAGTGCGGGTGCAGCCTGACCTCCCCGGCCCCCACCACAGTGACCCCGTGTGCTCAGGACAGTAGCAGGTCTCTGAAACTGTAAAGCCCTTTCCCTGCCTTCCCTGCTTCCCTCTCAGAAGGTTCTACCAAATTTAGAGCCGAAAACACCCAGGAGCATCTACAGCCCCATCAGAGGGCGGGCTTCTCAGGGCTTTCCTCCCCACACCGGGCGGCTGGGGCCATGCAGCGGGCCAGATGCTCCCTGGAGAAGCCACCCCCCCACCCCGGCCGAAAGAACAAAAGACCCTCCCCTGGGGCCTGCTGGCAGAGGATGGCCCAGTGGGACCCTGAGGAAGCGGCTTAGACCACATACTCAGAGGGAGGGGAGGACAACCTGAAGCCACTGTGGAGGGATTTACAGAAACCGGGAATTAAATCAGAGGCTCCGGGCGTTGGAATCCTTTGACTTCTGCCTTGTTAAAAATCTTTCTGGTATTAAAAAAAAAGCAAATCCAAAATAGTGTGGCTGGATGGGCAGGAAGATCTGCTAATGTCATCACTGAGGCTGCCACCCAATTCTCTGAAGAATTAGAAAGAACAGTCCTTGTCTTACTCCTTGAGTCTTTACAGAGCAGAAGTGTGGCTCCAGAAGTCACCCAAGGACCACCCAGCCTTCTCACCACCCGCACTCAGGATGCTTGCAGGCACTGCAAAATGCTGGACACTGTGAAGGGGCTGTCCTGCTTCTTTTCCAGAGGAACTTCCTCCTTTGCAAAAAAGGAGGAGAACACGAGGAGGAAATTGCCCTAGTTCTCTAGTAACAGGAGACTTCTACCTGCTTTGTCAAAGGAAGATCAAAATGGCGCCGGTGTTGCCAGGAGAGCCTCTGAACCGGAGCCGCAGGCCCCTGGGGAGGCGGGGCTTACGCGTGTCTCAGCCCAGATGGAATCTCAACTCTGACCACTCACCGTCTTGACGCAGGCGTCCAGAACATCTGCACGGTGTTCTAGAAACTCAAGACACTTATCGGACCCTTCCCCTAAATAACTTTTGACAGCCCATCCCCTAAGGACAAATATTTCCTCTCTTCTGTCAGAGTCATCACAATTCTTGCCAGACGACTTTGACAGCCTTGTGGCTTTTTGCCTTTAGAAGCCCCTGACGCTTTCTCTTCCCTGGAACACTCCTGTAGTTTCACCTGAATCTGTGTCCCTCAGGTTGCAATTCTTAAAGACCCCAATTGAAGCTCTTCGTTCTCTGCAGCACCCATCCCGACCGCTGTTTGACAGCATCCGTCTGTGTTTATACGTGCTGTGCGTGTGTGGCTTCTTCTATCTCAGGAGGATGCTGCCAACTTGACTTATAAAACTCTTGAAGAGCTCTGTTTTAATTGGCTTAGGGAAAAATAATTATTTATACAAATTAAATATTCCTAAAATTCTTATCAGTACAGGAGCTCGCCCAAGTGTTTTCAAGTTCATGCGATCTGGGGTAACAGCCATCTTGGATTATTGGGCCATTCTTTTTTTTCCCCCTATTTTTGTTTTCATTTTTTTAGATTCCACCTATAAGTGATATCATATGGCATTTTTCTTACTCTTTCCCGTCCACTTCACTTAGAATGACGACCTTCAGTATTGCACCATTCTTAGTGAGAGGTTGTGTGGGAAAGCCTTGCTTTACCGTCTGAACACTCCACGCAGGAGACGAAGATTCTGTGCCCTTCGGGTTATCTTTGCCATGTCTTTGATTGTTAAAGAAAGCTGAGTCTTCCCAATGTTGAAAATGCTAAGTTTTTTTTTTAAGCAATCACATTATCTCCTAAATTTTTTTCTTTTGAAATCTTTTATTGTCACTTTGCTTAAATGAATAAGTATTGTTTTATAGTGATCTGTGATCCTATTTAATCAAATGTTCAAACCTTTTGACATTTTGGACAACTTCCCAAAATCAGATTCCAAATGTCATCTTCCTGACCTTGAGACTTTATGAAATTTCCCAGAGGATCCCAAAAGATCTCAAAGGATTTGGTCTCTCACTTTGTAAAAAGAGAGATGCTAAACTGACAAGGTTTGCTTGATACGTTAAGTTGTGTTGGAAACATTCTCGATTGAAAAGTGAGGCTTAATCTTCTCTAGGTTATATTTGTAAGGATGAAATGTTGTTGTTTCAGAAATTGTATGAAGTTCCTAGAAATCTGTCAGCATCCTTGCTTTCCATGGTTTGTCCTAATATAATGTTACCAATCGTTCCTCTTAATACGTTGATGTCACAGGGACAACCAAGTTGCCTTGTCAGTTGCAAATCCTCACCACATCTTTAACCAGGGTCCTTTTAAGCGTTTTGTCATTTTTCACTCTGAATGCTCTTGTGATCAACTACAGGCCAGAGTTCTTCATCTTCAACAGAAAAGCACCGTCCTTGAGACTTGTGGAAGGACTTGTGGAAGGACATGCTCTCTGGGAGGACAGGCTCCTGGTGACGCTGCTCAGCCAACTTTAAGATTATACCACTGGACTGGGTAAAAAATCTTCAGAACTAACGGAGAAGCTGACAGAGTCATAGAACTGCTGACCCAAGATCGAGCAGATCAAGAATTAATTACACGGGACTTAATGAACTGACGGAGAGTGGTCATGACTTTTGTGGGGTTTTTTGTTTGAAACTGCAGGTTCTTGAATGTTCTGTTTTTTCCAAACTGTAAGAAGCCTTTTCCTCTTTCTCTTAAGCCCTTTCTGTCTCACCTGTGGAGCTCCCCTGTCAAAAAGCCCTGGGGCACTGGATAGCTGACCCTCTGGGGGACCGGCTTCTCCCATCCCATGCCCTACCTGTTCCCATGTTTTAAATTTACAATAAAGAGTGAACCCACAAACCCCTAAGCACCTCACCCATGACCCTAATAGAGGCAGAGCCCTGGCCCACATGTGCTCAGTCTCTCTCCTCTTCTACCGTAACCTCACTGGGTGGCAGAGCTGGGAAAAATTAAAACTGGGCTGAATCCTGAATTCTTCTCATTTTCTCCAATGTCTGGCTACAACTCTCCAAACTAATGTTTCCAATTTTTTCCCATCTCTCTGATTTGAATCACTAAAATGAAAGCTGCCCTTCTCCTGAAGCTGTGCAAGTTAAAGGTGGACAACCTGATACAAACTTCAGAGAAGTCACCACAACAGCTCATGTCTGGGTGACCTTCGTGTCTGTTGCCGTGTGGGCCACTCAGAAAGTTCAAGTTCACCAGGGGGTCTGGTGGCCTCACCAGAGACATTCAAACTGCCAACCAGGAGCATCTGTCAGAGTGTCGGCCTGCGCCTACTCCATCTGAAGATGCTTTGTGCTCGACGTCTAGAAATCTTTACTGTGCTCGTGTGTCTCCTGGGGATCGGGTGAAGACACAGATTCGGATTCAGGAGATGAGAGCTGGGTCCTGAGCTCTGCACGCCTAACAAGCCTCCAGGTGAGCTGTGAAAGTCGCCAAAGGCTGTCCAGCACTGAGGAAGGAACCAGAACAGGAAACAGGCGTGAGCAGAGGCGACCTCCGCTTCAGGCCCCAGCAGCCGCACCCCTCATTCCCGGTTACACACCTTGAGCACAGCGGTCCCCCACCGCACACACAGGCAGGGCCAGGCTCGCTTCCCGCTGTGATGTCACACAGCCCGGGCATTCCGCAGTGTCCTGGAGACCAAGGAGGGAAGAGCCGAGGGCCCTTCAGGAGAGGGGCCTCCTCCTGCAGCGGAGGGACCATGGCAGCTAGTTCAGGAGTGACCGTCCTTGTCCTGCTGCTCTGCTGCTGGCGGGGAGCTGAGCTCCAGCCGATAAGGTTATTTCCAGGTACCGTCACGGGGGCTGTTGTAGAAAACAGGGGGGCCACAGCTTCCCCCAGGGTGCCTCCCCGAAATTACCATTTATTCACGGGCGAATGGAGCAAGTGGAAAAGTTGTTCTGTCTTTGAAGAATTTTTCAGATCTAAAACTCCGTGGGAGGATAGCATACAGTATATAATTTAACTTTTTGTTACAGGAATTTTCTAACTAACCCCAAATTAGAGGAACGGTGGGAGCAAAGTCCAGCACCCGATTTCAGTCCTGTCCTCCTCATGCGCGCACGTGCACACTCGCGCTTCTGTTGTTACCGGAGTGTTTCAGCTCCGTCCGAGATGTCTCATCATTTCCCGCAGACGCTGTCTTACTTACATAAGGCATTTTTATTTCACATTCCTACAGTGTCATTAAGACACTTATAAAATTAAGACTCCCTGCAGCCCCCAATACCGACCACACTCAAACCTCCGCCAGGTCTCAGAACGACCTTTACAAGTGGTGGGTTCGAATCCCAGCCCAGCAGCCCCGCGTGCCTTTGGCTCCAGCCACTGTGTCCTGACCTCTCAGGAGCTGAGGAAGGGTCAGTGGACGATGACTTCCCCGGAATGTGACTCCCTGGCTGAGCAGGTGCAGAGGGGCGGGGCCTGCATGACCCCCTCTTCTTGCCCGGAGGCTGTGAGCCCAGGTCCCCTCTCCCCCAGGGGGCCACCTCCCTCCTTCCCCGGGGGTCACCAGGGACGAGCTCAAGGACAGGGGCGCTGACAGGCTCCCCCCGCCCAGCTCCCCGGCTGGAGGAGCAGGTGGTGCCCAAGTTAACTGGGGGTCGGCCCAGCCTGGCCTGGGTCTGAGCAGGAAGGCAGGTGGTCACCCGCCTGATCATGTCACGAAGCAGCTAATGTTTCCAGCTGCCTCTCCTCAAGATGCTGAGTTTTGAGACGTTTACCGAGGACAGTGCCCTTCAGGTGCTGGGGCATCAGAGGGTCTGTGACAGGTGGGAGGCGGTCACCCCCGCCGCTGCACGCCCCCAGCTGCCCATTCCTTTTCTGACGGTCCGGCTCCCAGCGCCCTCGGGAGCTGCTCCCACGCACGGGTTACACTGAGCGCTCTGGACGCAGCCCCAGAGCCCGCCCCATCTCCCGTCCAGACAGAGACGCCCTTGGGTGACCTTCAAGGGCTTCTCAGCTCGAGAGCAGCTAAAGGCAGATGGGAAATGGTTCTCTCTGCTCGGACTCCTGCCTCGGTGGGCCCGGGGTTGGCCCGACCACGAGGCAGGAAGGGGAGCAGCAGCCCTGGGCCTCCTGCGGGAGGAGGGGACCCCCCGTCCTCCCCACATTAGCCAGCGCACAACCGCAGAACTCAACAGTGAGCCTTTCCCGGTGGCCAGGGTGTGCACTGTGCAAATACGGAGAAAGAGCAGTGGGACATTGGAAGGCGGGCACAGGGCCGGTGGAAAACTGAGTGAGGAAGAGGTGACAACAGGCAGAGCAGAGGGAACAGCCACACTTGACAATGCACTTCAGAACCCGGGCGGATATCACAAAGCATAAATATTTGTCTGCATACGCTCCCGGGCTGGCACAATGCCTCCAGTGTAATTAGGGACACACACAGCATGAAAAGAGTATTTTTGACAAAGTGCTTGCACTAGCAGCTGTACCCATTCGCAATGACTCATTAATGTCGCCTCCAAAGAGAACTGTACTTTGTCTGCCCGTTTACGGAGGTCAGCATGCTGGGAAGCGATTGTCATCGCAGCGCAGACCTTTTTGTGTTGTTTCCCCGCATTGTTCTAAACCTCGTGTGTGCAGATGAGCCCATTGGTATGCAGATTGTCCATCATTAAAGCCATTTGAAAATCAGCGTCGTCACTGGTTTAGTGCTGGGACTTGAGTGTCTGCAGACGCCACCTGAGCGCTCCGCGCGCGGCAAGGGGAAGGCGGCCCTGCCCAGCGGTCCTCGGGGTCCTCGGCTCTCTGGTCTGCCCCCG